GCAGCTGTAATGACCGTTGACGTTCGACTTCGACATGATGGAGTTCCTGGTTTACTATGTTGCGGCGAGTCATCTTGGCAGATCATATGTTGCTGATGTAGTCACCTATTAGCTTGTACAATTGGGTGCTGGTTGAAGTTTGTGCCCAAGAATGCAACGGTGTACTCACTCTTTGTTGTATAATACCGAAGACTGACTGATGTAGTGACTAGTGAGGTACTTGACGGAAATTGCTAATGGAGCAAAAACTCAAAAACTAACCTTTCAAGTGTCAAAAAAGTTCTAAATAAAACATGCGTAACGCCATAACGGGCGTTGTGGTAGAGATGAACGGTGAGCGTACGGGCATTGCACAGCATGGCGTAACGGATCCAAGGGCTGACATAGGGCTGATCTGCTGCGGAGAATTCCATCAACTTGATTTCAAAATAGTCCAGGCTCGTGCGCTCACGGAGGACGAGGAGGTGGTGCATGACGGCAGGAGCTGCTTCACGGACCCTGTGCGGTCGACGCCGACGATGCCCATGCCCGTGGTGAGCCTCCAGAGGTGGCGCCAGCGCCTGGCGAGCACGCACGTCCGCACGGACTCCTGCGCCGGGAGGAACGAGAGGAGGTGGTGGAGGATCTCGTCCGGGAGGGCGCCGATGAGGTCGACGCCGCTCGCAGCCATTTCATCGAACAGGCTGCGGGCGGCGCTACGGGACAAGGATCGCCAGGCTATAAGCGTGGTGTCGGGCCGGGAGAACGAGAGGTAAAGAGGGAATTATCTGTCGTCGCCGCCGGCAGCTTGAGCGGAGAGACGCAATCGGACGGAGAAGAGAGCCCCCGAGTAGATATAGGAAGCTGAAGGAAATTCGTAGCCCTGTGAACCAGCAGATGGCGTACCCTGATCCTTTTCATTTTCAGCCGTCAGATCAAAATTATTTATTACGTACTAGCAAAAAGGCCCGTGCGTTACAATGAAAGAAAAATCACAATCTCTAATGGCCATGATCACATTTTACTGCATCACCAAGATATACTATCACTCTCAATTTCGTGAAATCATGAACATTTTTTCAACTCGTGAACATTTTTCAAATTCATGAACACTTTTACCAATTTTCGAACATTTTCGAATTCATGAACATTTTATACTATTTGCAAAAACATGTGAATATTTTTTAACAATTTTATTTAACCGGCGAACATTTCTAGAACGGACAGACATTGTTTTTGAAATTGGTGGAGTAATTTTTAAAATTCATGAAAAATTTTGTGATTTAACAAACATTTTCTCAAATACATGATCATTTTTTGAATCAGTGAACATTTTATGAATGAATAAACTATTTTGCAAGTCACGAATAGTTGTTGAATTTTTAGGATATTTTTGCATTCATGATTTTTTTTAATTAGCCAAATTTTGTTCAGTTTTGTTAACATTTTCTAATACACAAGCTTTTTAAAAAATCATGAACATTTTCTGATTTCCTAGACATTTGTTTTCAAAATTTGGAACTTTTTTTAATAAGCAAACACATTTTTATAAAATCACAAACAGCCCGTGCATTGCAACTAGAGAAAAAAAATATAATCTCCAATGTCCATGACCAAATTTTGCCGCATCACCGAGATACACTATCACTCATATTTTCGTGAAATCATGAATTTTTTTTAAACTCATGGACATACTTGAAACTGAAATCTTGAACATTTCTTAAATCCGTGAACATTTGTACAGATGTTGCAATATTTTCTAGAATCATGAATATTTTTTGAATTTATGAACATTTTATACTATTTACAAACATTTTTAGAAAAAGTTATGAAATTTTTAAAAAGGTAGTGCATCCTGCAGTAGTGCACCCCTAGTCCTGCCGAGTGTGGTTTATATGTGGATGTTACAAGCTTGCTCCTAGAGCTGTATTGGGGAGGAAGGAAGACAGGCCAAAGCATAGGCTGCTCCTTTTCGAGGAATGTGTGCTCTACTGATCGTGTGAGTGAGTGGTGTCTTGCCTGTGTTCATGTGCCCGCGTACATGAGGGCTCCTAAGGGGTTTTATGGGTCAACCCCCAGGGTTACAATGGTAAAGTTACAAGGTCGTGGAGCCGGGTTGTCATCGTCCGAGAAGCCGGTGTTAGGACCCGCAGGGTGTCAGGGCTCGCCGAGTTCTCCAGTCGTGGGCCCCGTGTGCCAGGGGGCACTTTTCTCCGTCTTGTCGATTGTAACGGAGTGGTCGGGTCGAGTCCGCTACAGTGGTGCACCGCCAGGTCGCCGTCTGCTGGCATCAGCAGTGACGACGGGGTGTGCTCTAGCCACGCCGGCCTCGGTCGGCGGGGTAGGTGGAGAACTATTGCCACGCCTCTGCTGGTCAGAGGAGTTGGTGGGGCACTATTGCCACGCTCATCCCCTTAATGAGGACTCGTCCCATCGCGCGCCTTGGATGGGACGGGAGCTGACCCGTGGCTGGGTTGAGGAACACGCCATGGAGGAGTTGGCTTGCTGGGGAAGCCATAGTTCGCCGGACTGTGTCGGCTTGTGCCAGCCGTCAGGGCCGGGTTGCCATCTTGGTCGGGTCGAAGAGTTCGGTCGGGTTGAGGGACTTGGCCGTGTTGACAAACCCAGCCAAGTGCGGGCCGGACTGAGGAGCGATGCCGGCCCTGATGTTTTTGAAAAGGATTCGGGTTCTGTTGCTTGCCCGGGGTTCATCCCCCGACAATGACTATTTGGAGCGTTCAATCGACTGGAAGGGGGGGGGGGTAAATTGGAGACTTACCAGATTAACAAGCTTATTCTTCGAAGAAATAAAAACTAAGGAGCGCAAAGAAATAGAACCTAGAGTAAGCATGTATTCAATGTGAGGACAAAGTCATCAAAACAGTGGAAAGCATGCAAGCTAAGTAATAGTAGAAGTAAACAAGACAAACAAATAGGCATGTTCACTTAAGTACCACCCGCTAAAAAGGTATAACTAAGCAAAAACGAAATAGAACATGTAAAAAACAGTGGAATGAAAAGTCTTCAGAGAGAGGAGGAGACAAAGTCTTCACAACATACAAATACAAAAAATTAAAGGGTGAATAAATTGAAACCAGTTGCTCGGGGAATATGTCGTGACAGTTTTATGTCTGATTGGAGAGGCTGAGATTTAAATCAAAAGACCAAGTTTTCATCTTATTCTCCTTGAGCTAAGTTTAGTTAAACCTCGTCCAATCACTCATGATAGATTTTCAAGGTAGATATCTAAACATTCACAAACTTGTTCTACGGTTGTCCGCGATGACTCTTGGAAGTTCTGAACTAAAGCCTAACCGTCTATAAGATCACAGTCTTAAAGAGTAACAAGTCTCCATCTCACTTAGAACAGATCCTTTAGTGATGCTCAATCTCTTTGACTGTGGGTATTTGAGGGTTTTTCTCACTAGGATTCTCTCAAATGTTTCAGGAGGATGGGTTACTATAAGTGACACTTGTTGAATATTAATTCGGAGCAGCCAACTAACTAATGGTGGAGGGGGTGACAACGTATAGACAGGGTCGCAACCCGAGTTCCTGATATGACCATCGGATGGGACAGACTGACCAACCAGCTGTTGCCAGCTTGGCAGCGGTCGGAAATTTTAACTCTCAAATTACTCACGGTAGAAAAGCCATACTGTAAACTGCTGATTGTCCTAACTTTTCAGCCAGAACATTAACTACAACGTCCTAAAAAAATGATATTTGACCTACACAACTTTTTCGATGTGATGCCAACCTACAACACTATTCACCGATGTGATGCTATTCCTACGATGCACGTTTAGATTGCATCAATTTAGTGTGACCTGCCGAACAAGGTGGAGGTGGATCCAGGCCTAAATCCCAATCTTCAACAAGTATACTATTTTTTGATGTGATGCCTATACCTATGCCTATGGTGTACCCTTTGGATTGCATCCATTTTAGTATGATCTGCAAGGTAGGTGCCGATTACAATTACTTTTATG